TTCCATCCCACGTCCACGTGTCGGCTGCTTCTCCCACCCTCCCCCCTTTTGTCTCACTTCAGATTTCTCTGGAGCAATCCTCTTTTATGCAGTACTGAGACCAATGCAGCCCTGATATAGGTCTGTGATTAGTGTCTGAGCCATGACATTAAGCTGAATCTTCTGATTTTTTTTTCATCAAAATTTAAAACTACTTTCCTCAAATATGAGATGGATAATTTTGTATGTTAGTGTAAATGCAGTGAAACCCTCATGAATAAAACATTAAGCAAACTTCTATGAATTTAAATTGTGTTACATTATAAAACAATTGTTGAGCTAACATTACAGCTCACATGTTACAGAAAATGTTTAAGCTTTCTACAGTTTAATCATCACTAATGGCACAAGGAAATTATTTACTATCAAATGGGTCAGAGAATACATAAAGAAGGCCTTTGCAGTATTGATTTCGCACATAAAATTAACATCTTCAGTTGTACTTGGAACTGCCAAAAAGGTTTGACTAATATCAACTCCTCTTATTATAAGGCCTCAAGAAATAGCCACAGCTGGGGTGTCAAGCTTGTTTTTAAATGATGAAAGAACATCTGAATGCTTCATGGGCTTGACTAGTAAGTGATTAAAGTGTAACTGACTGAACTGAATTTCTGCCAGTGTCAACATAAAACTTTTTTTAAAAGTCAGTGCTATGAATTATTTACTGTTCTTTCAAAGCTCAGTGTCAACACATCAATTCAGTCTCATTCTATTCCTCCCTTACAACCCCAACCAGAAGCACTCTAATATGCAGGATGGTGACATATATCTGCAATGTAATGAGCAATGTAACAAGGCTAGGCAACCACCCAAATTATTCAATCCTTTGGAGACCTAAGAAGAGCATCTTTAGCACAAGAACAATTCCCATAAGGTGTACAATTTCAGAGCACCTTGGAAAAGACAGAGCAGGCCATCATAATATTGCTCCTGCATAGGCATAACTCCTTCCTAAAACCTGTGCATGTGACTCCTTAGAGTAGCACCAAATCAGCTCCATGAAGCAAAACCCAGACCAATAATACTGCACAAACAACCCATACTGGAAAACTATGGTGCATTAACATTGAAAAATTGTGCCACTAATGACAGCTGCAAGAAACAACATGCCTGAAAAACCATCTCCCCAATATCTGTAACCAGGGTATTTTGTCCACTAGAAGTATACAGCAGACTGCCAAAACCACAAGTATTGCCCAAAGTCACAGAATCGCAGAATCATTTACGCTACAAAAGACCTGTGAGATGATCAAGTCTAACCTATGACCAAACACCATCTCATCCAACAGACCATAGCAGCATAAGCCATGTTCAGTCTTTCCTTAAACACTTCCAGGGACAGTGACTCCACAACTTCCCGGGGTAGCCCACTCCAATATCTAATCACCCCTTCAGTGAAGAAATTCCTGCTATCCAACCTGAACCTCCCCTGGTGCAGCTTGAGGCTATGTCTTCTTGTCCTGTGACAAATCACCTGGAAGCACAGGTCAACCTTGCTACAACCTCCCTTCAGGCAGCTGTAGAGAATAAGATTTCCCCTGAGCTTCCATTTCTTCAGGTTAAACAACCCCAGCTCCCTCAGCCATTCCTCATGGGACTTGCACTGCAGACTCTTCACCAGCCCTGTTGCCCTTCTCTGGACCCACCTCAATGTCTTTCTTGAACTGAGAGCCCAGAACTACACACAGGACTCAAGGTGTGGCCTCACCAGTGCTGAGTACAGCGGGACAATGTCTGCCCTGGTCCTGCTGGCCACACTATTGCTGATACAAGCCAGGATGCCCAAGACCTTCACGGCCACCTGGGCACACACTGGATATCATGTTCAGCTGGCTGTAAACCAGCATCTCCAGGGTTTTTCTGCAGGGCAGCTTTTCAACCATTCTGCCCCCAGCCTGTGGCACTGCCTGGGGGAGTTATGACCCAAGTGTAGGGTCCAGCACTTGGCTTTGTTGAACCTCATACCGCTCACCTCCACCCATCCATCCAGCCGGCCCAGATCCAGATCTGCAGAGCCTTCCTACATTCCAACCCAACTTTATGCCATTCACTAATTTACTGAGAGTATACTCGAGTCCCTCGTCTAGATGATCAGTGAAGATGTTAAACAGGACTGAGCCCAATACTGAGCCCTGGGGAACACCACTAGTGACCACACACCAGTTGGATGTGGCTCCATTCACCCATAGTTGGGACCTGGCCATCCAGGCAATTTTTAAGCCAGTGATGTCAAAATATCTAACAAAAGATACAATTTTTTAACGTAATTTTACAAACCCCTTGCACCACTAGTGACCACACACCAATTGGATGTGGCTCCATTCACCCACAGTTGGGACCTGGCCATCCAGGGACCTTAAGCCAGTGACGTCAAAATATCTAACAAAAGATACAATTTTTTAACGTAATTTTACAAACCCCTTCTTTAGATATTTCTGTATTTAATATATGCTATTGCATAAGCCTAATTAAGATGATCACACCATTACAGTCTTAAATTCTCAAATTCTAATACAAGAATTGTCCATTAGAAAGTGCTGAGAACAAAGTGTGAACACCCAGATGCTGCAAAACTACTAAAACATACTCCCAAAAGAACACACAAGTAATGCTTACCAAAGTGATAATGTTATCAGATATATTCATTAAGAGACAAATTAAGTAACAAAACAGATGATGATGTTCAAGGCTTTATTACTTCTTAATTAAGTCTGGCCATGATGCACAACTTCTGTGCAAAGTCGTGAAGACCTCTGTATCACCAGAGTGCCTGAAATGAAACACATTTCTCTTGGCTGACTGCTCTTTTGCAGTGAGCACGAAAAAGCACCCATGTCCTAAAAAAGCACAGCTAAACCAGCTGTACTTGCAGAACTTGGGCCTAGATCAAATAGTATTTCAACAACTACTTTCCACAAACAATACTTGAATTGTGCTATTGTGTCATAACTTCTGCCTCGTCAGTCTACATATGGCTGAGGAAAATTGTTAAGATTATTCTCTGGATTTGTATATATACAATCCTTGCTTTTAAAAGTGAAAAGTGTATTCTTACAGTTTCACTGAAATGTAATTTATGTTTATAGCTTTGTTCTAGTGAAAACTACACTAAGTATCTAGCTACCAAGTATCACACTTCAATTAAGCCTCTGGTGTAACAGAGTTAACATCAGACTGACCTCAGTAAAACATGCTGGAACTTCAGCCTTCATTTCCAAAGACTCAATAATATCCCTAGCATCACTCATCTGTGCACTGTGCTGGCTAAAATTAGCTGAAACAGTTTATTAAATACAGTTTCTAAATTAGTAAATTAGTAATCAAAACCCCTCAAGTTCAATTAGGAGCTTTGGAATAGGACAGAAATCACTAATCATTTATCCCTTGCCTAGAAAACATGGTGAACTTTAATAAACAAAGCTTATATATTAGAAGACTAATGTGAACCAAGACTAATGTGAAACACCACAATAACTTCAAATACAGCAGTCCTGTAGAAGATAGTTTTCCTAGGTCATGACTGCTCAAATTTCTTAACCATGACTACTAAGTATCACATAAAGAAGTACTTTCCTGTAATGCAGTTATTGCCTTTAAGGAATCAATCCAGGTGCAATGAATAACATATGAGATAGTTTGAGGAGAAATCTGAGAACACACAGACTAAGTCAGGGCCTACTCATTGCAGTTCTTACTGTTTTTCAGACTTCTCAGCTATTCACACAACACACAAATTCCAGACGTTCACGAAGCTTCTTAAAAGTATTTTGAATAGATGCAGATAATGTGCATATTTAGCTACATTTCTGTGGAGTACGTTCTTTCTTTTTAAATCCTGCACAAGTGTTATCAGCTTCCAGCAAAAACATTATGCATCAACTCAAATAAAGGCATCTCTAGTTGCAGTTCTGTTGCAGAGTTCTAATGAAAATGTTCATATAAGACTATAATAATTTTCACTGTACATGAAATAATTCCACAGACTCCAGTTATATTCAAAATTGATAAGACTGCAGTATGCTAATTTTCTAATTTGACAAAGGAATGCATTTTTGCTTCCCACTGTTTGTTTACTAAATGCTTGTGGTCAACCTTGGCATTAATGTAACATAACAATACAAGGCTTTGAAAACATTTTTGAAAAGCAATCCAATCTGTCTTCATGTTATTCAATGCTGCATTTTCTATGACTAAAATTTTGTGTATTAGACATGATCACCCCCTTTTAAACCCTGTGAAGAGTCTCAGAGATATTGTAAAACAAGCAATTCCTGAGCTGAACACTGAATTACTAACAGGAGTATATATTGTCTGCAATAGGACAGATGTCCTAACTAGATATGATAACCCAAATGTTCATACAACAAAAACTTTACCTTTGCCTGACATATTCTGGCTTATCCTCATTTGAGTGCATAGAATATTCATTGTTAAAAGGGACCCAGAAGGACCTCCAAGCCCAGCTCTTAAGTGGGTGACCTGTACAGAGACTGAACTCATGACCAGGGCATTAATGGTCTCCATGCTCCAACCAAATGAGCTAATCTCAGTCCGTACCAACAGAACACAGAGTAAAAACCCACAACTGTTATACTTGTTCCAACAAAAAACTGTTGCAAAATGTTGTGGGAGGAATTATAGGTATGAGTAGAAAAAACAGTTGTGTGCATAGAGCTAACGTTGAATGAAAGGGCATCATGTTGCTATCTCTGCCAGAAACAATTTCTAAAATCCTCTAGCACAAATTTCTTTAGAATGCACACTATATGCTAAATACCATTTGAAATTAATGGACACTCAGCTCACAATGAATGCTTTTTAGTGCTACCTGTACTTGTAGTAAGGTTTCTGGTATTCTCCAGATGGAAGCATATACATTTTAAATCCAAAAAGGCTATTGTCCAGGAGTGTCACCAAGCAATACCACAAGAGCTGTGAAAAGCAGACTTCATGTGACTTACCGCCAGTGCTTTAGACAACTTTGTTCTATAGTTATTCAAAACAATCACATCAATCTCCTTAAACGGCACATAGGCAAAGCCATCTTTAATAAACACTCTTCTGGCTCTAAATAAATCCACAGCATCTGCAAGTCCAACCTAAGAAGGAAGAAAACCCCACATTGTGAAATAGAAAAATAACACAGTAACAATGTTTACAGACCTAAGATTTAAGATAGACCAATAAAGCTTTGAGTCATTTTCTGTCTTTTAACATTGTCTCCAGACAAAACTCAAAGTGTGTGAAATGAAATCTTGACTTAGGAATAGCTAATCATTATTTTGGTGGGAAAATAACGCTTGCTTACAAAAAGTCATGCAACTAGGCAAAATAAGGTATTTCAAAGTTTGTGTCTATGAGTATTGATCCAATTATGTCGCTTTGCATCACTTACTGATTTGATATTTGCAAATGGATTTCTGTTTCTAATGTCTGGAAATATTTGATTCACATAAGCTACATACAAAAGGTTTTGCAAGCTGATCTGGAACTCAACCAGCTTCACTCCAAAGAATCAGTGGGCCACATTACAAATTTTTTCCTCTCCCCTTGCTCTCTTGCAAAACAATCAGACCAAACCTAATTTCAGCAACAGATGTTTGACAATGTCTCCATCCTGAACAATCTGACAGCCATGTAAATTAAGTCATTTGTCTGGGAAACATTAAAACTTAAGATCATTTTTGTGGCAAATGTAAGGGATGGCAGAACAGGACACAGAGTTTCAAGCTTCCTTCATTTTCCCAGGCCCTCCTTCCACCCTTATACTCACATGAAGTAGAGGAACTCTCATTAGTCTTTTAGACACTTGGATTTACTGTGACTGTTAGGTAAACTTAAAATTAGTAACTCTGCGTTTAACTGAGAGAGAACGAATGCAGATCTGTGGGACTCAGCAATTTTTACTTACCTTATAGAACATTTGTTCTTTTACTTTAGGCAAACTGAAGCCAGGGGTTGACACACTCAGCTCATTAGCCAATTCATTTTTCAGGTCTTCACTAATCTAAAATTAAAAATTTGTTTTAAAACTGTTTAAATACTTTACGATAAGGCTTTTTTATTTTATTAGCATGAGCTAAAATATTACTTAATCTGTAATATTATCAGTTTAGTTGAAAAGAGAAAAAGAACTACATATTCAATAAGTGATCACTAATAATTAATTAAGCAGAAACCAGGAAAACATCAGTGGGTCAATAGTGTTAAGCAACCTTCCCTCTGAAGTGGAAGGGCAGATTTTAAACTACAATAATTTTAAGGATTAACAAGAACTATAAAACACACTTCTTAGAAGTCAGCTTCTCTAAAATAAAACTCATGACAATCTTTGCTTGTCTCTAGATATGCACTAAAACAAAGCAAGTTGAATAAACAGCAAATAGTAAGGACTTTACTTCATCAGATATAAACAAAAAGAACAGTTTCAGCTTATTTTTAAATACAGATTTAACAAAACTATATCTAACTATATATATCTATATTCAGGAATTTAACATTGCTTTCTCTAAGGAGTGAGAACAATAGTATCTTTACTGTCCTCTAAGTGTTAGTGTTTTTGCAGTTCTTGAAACAAGTAAGTAAAGCAGCAATGCTCTAATTTAACAACCCAAGGTATTTTAAAATCACAATATTACATTTCCTAATAGAAGAACTTAAATAGTACACATACACAAATACACATCATACAATCATAGAATATGCTGAGTTGGAAGGGACCCATCAGGATCGTGAAGTTCACTTCCTGGCCCTACACAGGACACCCCAAGAGTCAAACCATGTGCCCAAGAGCATTGTCGCAACACTTCTTGAGCTCTGTCAGGCTGGTGCTGTGACCACTGCCCTGGGGAGCTGTTCCAGTGCCCAGCCACCCTCTGGGTGAAGAACCTCTTTTTAATATCCAACATAAACCTCCTGTTACAACTTCAGGCCCTTCCCTTGGGTCCTGTCACTGGTCACCACAGAGAAGTGAGATCAGTGTCTGCCCCTGCTCTTCCCCCCAGGAGGAAGCTGCAGACCCCAGTGAGCTCTCCCCTCAGTCGCATCCAGGCTGAACAGACCAAGTGACCTCAGGCACTCCTCATACAGCTCCACCTCCAGACCCTTCACCATCCTCATGGCCCTCTCTCAGACACTCTCTAATAACTTCATATCTTTCTTATATTGTGGCACCCAAACCCACACACATTTGCATAACATGCTCTTGATGAAGTATAATGGGAGTAGTCCCTGACTGAAAGGATTTTAAGTGATAAGGAAGGCAGAATACCTCCTCAAAACGTAGATGGACAGAAGTGTCACCAAAGCATAACACGCTGTGTGACCCTGCTCTCCATGAACTGGATGTGTGCTCCAACACCTACAGTGAGCTGATACTAGGCTGCAGTCAAGGTAGTTTTTAGAGACTAGCCAGGAACAAAGCCCAGGCCATCACATGCAATAGATCTGCAGACTCCAAATGCAAGATAAAGTTACCCAAAGTCTATCCTCTCCATGGGAGGGGATGTGCTTAAGCAGTTTTATTCTCTGAATGGAGCAGAATATCTAATTTGTTGACCAACACTGATATACAGTTAAACAGGCATTTCAACAAAACTTTTTTCCTTCTCAACTGAAAAACCCAAGGGGAAAAAAAAAACAACAAAAAAAACCACCCACCCCACTTCTCTTGGAAGTCATAGGAAGGACCATTTAATTCCAAACTTGGACAAGTAGCTTAGTGAAAAACAGTGACTTGATATATGCATATGAAATAGCCAAGGCAGCAATGTTGAGAAGGCTTATGGTTACCCTGTCTGCATCTTGATGCAATCTGTAGTACTCCCCAAGGAAAACCAGCTTTAAAAAATAATAAAGATGCCAGCAAGGCAGAAGAATGTAGCTCTGAAGAGAAAGGAAATACACAACAGTATTACATTTCTGCATGTAAAAATGTAAAGCTCAGCAGCCTGTAAAGACAGCATTCTTCTTTAACGAAGTAGCTGTATCAAAACAATTAAATGCGATTCTGTAAATGAAATGAGAATACTTTCTATAAAATACTCTCATTAACAATCTTATTCTTGTTAGAATTTGAAAAATTCCTGCTTTTCATGACACATTGAAGCTATAAACAAATTTCACACAGTGGTACCAAAACTCCATGACTCCTTCCAGATGATCCATTTTTGTCTAAATAATTATAAATCTAAGTCATTGCATCAGTCTGAAGCCTGCCTTTCACCTTCCAGAGACCTAAGTTTTCATTTTAATTCCAACATAGTGGCTTCCATTTTCAAATGTAACAGTTTTATGCATTCTTAGTAGAAATCCCTTAGGAGAGCCTCTCCACCCTGTCATTCCAAGCCCTCACTGACCGTGTAAATACACTGACCAAATAAAAACAGTACAACATGTTGTATAGAAATGGTGGTTACAATTCCACTATTTCTTCTAAGATATCTCACTAAAAATAACTCCATCCAACAAACTAAGCCAAGGACAGAGCAGAGTTTTTTTCCAGAGAGCTATTAAAGGAGTCCAGAAACTGTTTTACAGACAGGCCAGCAATATTGAGGGGAGAACAAGAAGAGGGAAAGGATTCCTTCTTTATCTGTTCTTCCAAACAAATCAGCTTAATTTCATCAACAAAACCATTTCTTCCAGTATTACATTTTGTTTCAAGGGGAATTTATTCCAAGCTTCACAAGCTGTCTACATCCTTCTTTATTAGTAATTTGACCATATCAGTTTTGTACAGATACAGTGACAGTCATTTCAGATTTTCTTGCATGTCACTAGCAAATAATTTAACATTGTTGGGGTAAAAGTGATCCTGGTGAACCTTCACAGAAAACAGGTCATTTGCCGTGACTAAAGATTTAGGTTAGGCTGTGGACAGTGTGACCAAAAATACAGTTTTATCAGAAATTTTATTTTTCAATCCAACACAAATATTATTGCAAACCACTATTTTAAACCACTATTTATTATATACATAAAGCTGTTAAATAGTTTACTTCTTACAGGCTCAAGTATCTTAAAGGTTAGGCAATCATTCAGCAGCCCCACAAACACTTTGCTCCTTGCCTTTTCACAAAATTCACACTGCCTTCATGTTTTCAGGTAATAGAGAAAAAGAGGAAGATGAAACAAGGATAACCCTAGCCTCTACCTAAAGCTGGAAAATGACTCCAGAATGCATTCAAAAACAAAACTGGCTTCCCTAAATACTGAAGCATGAAAAACAACCTCCCACTGGCATTAATGATTTCACCATTTTCACATCAAAGAAATACACTACCCATAGTCTAAAGTCAGACTCAAGCTTTCAGTTAGGCCATGTCTGTATTGCTGCATGCAGAGCATCATGAAACATGTATCCCAATTTTTCTTGGTTCACAGAAGCTAGAAAAGCTTTTTTTTTTACTGTTGTTTTTGGGGCTTTTAATTATTTAAATAAGAGTACTACAGTTTGTATATTTAATAATTTCATCCTAAAATAGCACCTGCAAACACACATTCCAGTAATCATTAAAAAATTAGATATAATTAAATACAGCTTTCAGGATTCTAACCAAGATTAGAAAGATAAACTGGCTGCTTGACTTCTGACAGAACTTGGTGATCTTCACCAGATAAAACACTGCTTAAAATATTAAAAAAAAAAAAATTAGAGTCCTTCTGAGGATCTCACCAGTCATCATCTGACCTTCCACAAGGAACTGATTAAACTCACCTCACAGAAAAGAATTCACTAGTTTTGCCTCGTTCATTTGCAGCCAGTTTAGCAAGCTGCTCATCACTGTGTCAGACTTTGCTTTGCACAAGCAAAGGACACCAGGAAAAGGCTCTTCCCTTTTCAGTAACATGGGTTAGGAAGCATAGCTTGAAACAATTGAGCAATTCATTGCAAACTCTGGAGACTTAGAAAAAACAAAGGTACAAAAAGAGAGGAAGGGAAAGAAGCAAGTACTCAGGACAAGTTCCATTATTTCTAGTTTTCTTGCTTTCTACATGCAGTTTATTCATTGACTTTTAATCACAGGACTGTCCTGGAAACACAAAGACACATAAATTTAGATTAAAATATGAATAATTTAATGTGCAGGGCTTGGTTAAACAAACAGAGGCAGTGAGGTAGTCCAAAAACTTCAAAATAATTTTGATATCACTACTCTGTTTTAATGAAGAGATAAAGATGCATGCACACATTATACTGCTATATATGTGCAACACTTAGTTTTACTGTTTCTAAGTCTCCCAGTAAGGAGCAAGAACTCCATGCACAAAGTCCTTTCCTTTTCCAAGACTCAGCTTCAGGTATTTATGTGCACATGCCACTGGTGTCCTTAGAAAGTGAACTTCCTAAAATTTGCTTTTAGTTACAAAGCACCTGGTACTCAAGAGGCACAACACCCTTCCCAAAAACAAGTGTTGTCAATCTATATTTTGCTCAATTGCCACTCTAGGCATGAAGCAGAAAAAATAATAATTTCCTAATCAATCTTCTCCATTGCCACACATCACGCTACAAACTAAGTGAGCACTAGAATGCCAAAGTATTAACCTAGATACCATTAAATTTGAGAATATAAAGTGTAATCAGCCAGTTAATGAATTGCTTGATTAGCAAAGGACACCATTCCCAGCTCTCCTACCAATTAAAAGGATGAAGAGCCCTAAAGAAAACATTCCAGAGGCTTGTAAATCTGTCATTCACAAACCTGATGATTATCAATTTCATTTTGGCCAAGCACAAATTAATATGAAAATTTTATCTTGCAAAATACTACAACTTTATATCTTAACTGAAGTTCAGTTTGCTGGCATACCTAAAAACATAAAGGGCAGCACTTGGAATTATCTATTCTTATCCATCGATTGAAACATTGTTTGGGCTTTTTTAGAGTCAAGAGCGGGCACAGAAAGAACATTTTATGATCTGCCTCACCATGCAGCTCATTCATGGTTACCACAATGACAGAGAAACTCAGTGACACGGGTTCAGTCCCCTACATTCCTGAC